AGTCTATGAATCTGGATGCTCTGAGAGCAGGGGATGAGACCACTAGACTTAGAACTCCCAGCTTTTTTGAGGGTGGTTCTGCTGTGCCTGGGTACTACCTGAGGTTTCTGAGCTGTCATTTCTCTGAGTCTCCTCTTTCATCCACAGAGACTGTATGGCCAGGTCTGGTTTGTCATAGAGGATAGAAATATGGCCAGGCCTGGGACCTGTCCATGAGAGGTGGTTGAGAGAGGTAGGTCTGAGTACAGATCAGCACCCCAAAGTGTAGGAGGCAGGGGCACAAGGGATGAGGGTGTGATGTTCAGGCAAGGTTGCAGAGAGGTGACCACCTGGAGCCCTTCCAGAACTTTTGTGGACATGCTAGAAGATCTGCACAGGTCTTGTTTTGAAGGCATTGCTGTTTAGTGAGGAGTGGGTGAGGAGGAAGCAGGGCTGGAGAATGGCAGAGGCCATCAGGGGTCAAATTAGAGATGGCTGTGTGGCTGGGGCTGTGATCCATGGGGGAGGACAGTCAGTTCTGAGTTTTGTTGTCTTCTGGCTTCAGAAGCAGGAAGGGGAATGGTGGAGAGAATAAAGGCTGGTTCCCTGGTTCTGCTTTGGGAACTGGGTAGCCGAAATCTCCTGACTCTACAGATAACCACAGAGGAACATCTTCTGTCATCTGTGGGTATCAAGGCCAGGTTGACCTGATGGGAGGTTTGAGGACTTTACAAGCTGGTTCAGACCCCAATTTAGGACCTACCAGCTCTGAAACCCTAGGTAGTTACATGACTTCCTGGGCCTTCCTGAGTCTCTCAAATCTCAGGACCAGCTGTGTTTCAGGGCTGCCACAGGCTTGCCTAGCTCACAGACTAGACCCCATCAGACTGCCACTGCCTCCTTTTGTAGCTGCCCCGTAAAAATCCCTGTCCCCAGAGCCTATGATTTCCTTGGGAAAACTGTGACTTTCTCAAGGACCCTTAAACACTTTTCTAATCCTTAGGGTGATGATCAAAATACACTGGGGACAAGGGAATCTCTGCTCTTGTCATCACCTAGGGTAGGAGGCATAGCAACTTTCCAAATATGTGTTTTGCTTTACCATCTACAGATTCTTCCATTTCAGTCATAGTGTCCCTCTCTGTTTTGGCTAAAGGGCTCCTATCTCCATCAATGCATACTACCTGTTTCCACTCTGATTGTTGTCCCCAAATTAGGGACCATTCATGGTGATATCCTCTGTTCCCCACCATGGC